GAACAGTTCGGTCACATGAGAAAATCCTCAGGGAGTTTAAAGACACAGATTCCCATTACCTTTAAACCATCTCCAGGACAGCTCCTGGAACCCCCAGTCTCAAGCTACCCCGGGAAGTAGTGAGGTTTACTGAAGAGGTGAGAGAGAGAGAGAGAGAGAGAGAGAGAGAGAGAGAGAGAGAGAGAGCGAGCGCACTCTAGGGAGAGCTTTTATTGGGGAACAAAGAATTCTGGGGAAAATGCCATCCAATGAAGGTCAAGGGGAGCAGTGTTCCAAGGTCAGGTGAGATGACTGGATCTTCGAGGGCAGTGGTGAGACACGCCTCCACATGGACAAGCTCTCAAACCCAAGAAGGGTGGGGAAAACTCTAACACAAAAAGTGTCTGAGCGCCTCACACCCAGCTGGGGAGGAAACTCAGTCACGTGCAAGGATGGTCTCCCACACTTACTCTCACTGAACAACTTGAGAGTGCAGGCAGTATGAACTCCATTTCCTCTCACTATGTGGTATGCAGGAGAGAGACTTTTTGGCAGACTCCCCTCCTCCTCCGGTTAACCTTACACTAACAGAGCATCAATTCCTTCACACTTCCAGTTCCCACCATTCAGTCCCTCCAGCAGCAACCCCTGAAGAAGTCAGGCTCCAAGAAAACAGCATAGGATGAGAGGCAGGCAATGATCAGGAGTCAGCAGCCTCGGGGGTGGATGGCACCAARCAATCTGCATCAGTAACAAGCAGCAGAAAACTTTGGCCCTACAAATAAGTAGAGGCTTATAAGCTTGGTTTGGCACAGTGACTAATTAGGCAGGAGTGCAAAACACATGAAAGTCAGACCATACCATACCTCTGTCCCAAACCGTCTTTCATCCTACTTTAGTTAAATATCAAAAAGGAATTGTGGGGCTGGGATTGTGGCTCAGTGGCAGAGCACTTACYTAGCATGTGTGAGGCCCTGGGTTCCGTTCTCAGAACCACATATAAATAAATAAAATAGAAGTTTCAGGCAGATGGTGGAGATGCACGTGTCTTCAAGTAGGTGAAATCCTATCTTCGGAAGGCTGCCTGGTCTGCTCTGCTCCTGGCGCTCACCACTGTGCTCCTGTTGGACATTGTGGATCCCAGAGGAGAGCCTCAGTGATGYTGAACATTTATTTCATATATTTGTTGGCCACTTGCATTTCTCCTGTGATGTGCCTGTTCAGTTCCTTTGCCCATTTGGTGATTGGAATACTTGTTTTTACAGTGAAAGAATGAAAGAAGAAAATGGATAAAAAGGCACAGGAACAGATAAGAGAAGCCAAATTGTAAGACTACAAGCATATGGAAGACAGGGTTACATTCCCAAGAGGCTGGACTATGGTACCTGGAGTCTTCTGTACCATCCATAAATAAATAAACGAATAAATAAATAAATAAATAAATGTCTATTGAATATAAAATAAAGGTCTAAGGAATTGTGCCTGCAACTCACTCTACAATACAGGCAAAACTTCAATACACATATGGCAATACACACAGTATATATGTGTATATATGTCAGAATAAATAGATTCATAAGTAGAGAATTATAAAGCAAATGTGGCAAAATGTTAACATTTGATAAATCTGGTTTTTAAAGTATGTTGAAATTTTTCACATTATTTTTACATTTTCCTGTAGGTTTGATATTATGTCAAAATTTAAAGTTCAAAAAGCTAGTGGTCCAGAAGGAAAGTGACTTACCTCAAGGAAAATTAGATGAGAAAGCTTAGAGTAGGGCTGTGGGGGGTGGGGGGCTGAGAAAGTAATTACAAATATCCACTATAGACATAATTTAAAGTGATGATGTAAAGCTATGCTTATGGATAGGTAATGTGTTATGATAGAACAATAGGGAAAAATTTTATTTTATTATTATAAATCAATAAAATTTTGTAAAAAGAAAATTCTCACTTAAATCAGAGGTTGGCTACTGTTTTCTTTAAAGGGACAGATAATAAATATTTACAGCTTTGTGGGTAAGTTTCTGTTGCACATACCCAACTCTGCCATTGCAGCAGAAAGAAGATTTAGACAATACACAAATAGGCTGTGGTTGTGTTCTATTTCTTATAAAAGCAGGTGGCCATCTAACTTTTCCTGCAGTGTGCAGATCCTTGATTTTGCAAATGGCCACTTTTTCCTCCACAACATGGTTTATAGGGAAGGAGCTCCTGTGAAGCTTCCTGTGGGCCCCCTAGACCTATAGGCAGGCAGTATGAGAGTTCCACTAGTCCCAGGTAATTGCCTTTTGATAAGCAGATCAAATGAAATTTAGTGAAAACGTTAAATCAAAGCTCAGTACCAACACAGTGAACTTCTATACAGTTAGAATACTTACTGCCATTCAGAATAACTGAAGCTATAGAGGTTTTACATTTCTTAGTTTCACTATCAATTAAAGTTTTATGCTAAAGTAACCTGGTCATCAGAGTTGATTTTCCATTTCTTCAACTTGAACTTCTTGATTAGACTAACACATTTGCAGTTCTGCACTGTTTAGCACCTCACTGAAAACCTTACAGAGCTTAATATCACTCTGGTTCTTGGCACAGTTCAAAAATTGTTTTCTCATAAAAGCAGAGGCCACCAAGCTGCTGCTAGCTGCTATCCCTAAGGCTCTTGGTAAGTGATATCACTTATATTGAGSGCTCAGCATTACTTCCTTGACTGAAGCTCCCAGTGATGTCATGGCCCAGCATATGCCAGACAGCAGAGCCCAAAGCCACACCAGCTGCAGTGGTTGCCATCTTAGTCCATCAGAATTGGCTTCTGGGGTGCAACAGCAGGTGAGCCAACTGCAGATGGTGAGGCTGCTGCTGGTTACTGGCCTAGTCACAGCTCTCATCTGAGGGGCCAGGCTGGCTGGGGACGGGGGTGGGGGTGAGGTGAGGCTCTGGCCAGGCCAAATGCTAGGTTCCTGGCAGCTGGCATCCCGAGTGAGAAACTCTGTTTTTTCTATTTATGCAAACTTGTCATTGGGACTTTGATAGGAATTGTACCTATCTTTCCACTTATATGTGTTTTCTTCTTTAATGTTATTATAGTTTGAACCTTAAAATGTTCTCCAAAGACTCATGTGTTAAAGAGTTAGTCCCCAGCCAATGACACTATTGGCAGGTGGTGGAGACTTTAGGAGGTGGCACCTAGTTGGAAGAGGTGGGTCACTGGGGGTGTGCCTTTGAAGGGTATATTTTGTCCCCAGCCCCTTAAACCTTCTCTCAGCTTCCAAGCTGCCCATGAAGTAAGCAGCTGTGCTTCCCCACAGCCTTCCACTGTTACGAGCTGCCTAATGAGGGACACAGACAATGGAGCCAACTGACCATGACTGAAACCTTTGAAACCATGAGCCAAAATAAATCTTTCCTCCTTTAAGCTATTTCTCCGGTGTTTTTGTCATAGCAATGGAAAGTTACTAACAAGTGTCTTTGAGCAGTGTTTTGTTGTTTTCAGGACTCCTTGGTTAAGTTTATTCATAAGTTTTTTTTTTTCCTTGGGTGCTATTATAAACAGAACTGTTTTTTTTCACCTTCTTTTCAGACTGTATGATTGTATATTGTTCATTAATAGTGTGTAGAAATATCACTTATTTGGGGATTATTTTTAAAGAGAGAGTGGGAAGAGAGAGAGAGAAATTTTTTTTAATATTTATTTTTTTATATCATACTGTGTTCAAGTAACTTTTGTTTTACTAAATAATGGCCCCAATGCATAATAGTGGTAATGCTGGCAATTTGGATATACCAAAGAGAAGCCAAGACACTTCCTTTAGTAAAAAGGTGAAATTTTTATTTATGGAAAGAAAAAAAATTGTATGCAGAGGTTGCTAAGATCTATGGTAAGAATAAATCTTCTACCAGTGAAATTGTGAATAGAAAAAATTCGTTCTAGCTTTGGTGTTGCACCTCGAATTGTAAAAGTTACAGCCAAAGTGCAGGAAAAGTGCTTAGTTAAGAAGGAAAAGGCATTGCATTATAAAGTTCAGTGCTGTCCAAAGTTTCAGGCTCCCACTGGGTATACCCTGTGGATACAGAGGAAATACTGTATATATTTCTTATTATAAATAACAATATCACAGCCATCATTTTTGTTCAATAGATGACAAGATAAGCAGTAATAGAAAAATCTTCATATTTTGATAAAGAAATTTGCTTTTAAAAATCCTGTTCCACATTTCAAAGCTGTAATTAAATGGCAGTGAGAAAGTGATTTCACATTTTAAAGTTTATGGGCTGCATTACTGACAGCGAAATAAATCAGCATTTGTTGTGTATAGTACAGGAACTCACACAAGCTCATGTTTACTAGGAAAACCAAACCAAAACAAAACAAAATAACTTTTGAGAAAAGGGAGCACTTGGGATATCTAGTTAGTAAGCTTAATACCACAATAGCATARTGTGTTCACACACAATGAATGCATAGATACCTAGTGTGAGCATAAGGTAGGACTCTCTAGTTGTCAGACATCTATATAAATGCCAACTTAGATATGAAAGGGATTTGTTTTCTCCACATTCTCTAAAATAATTTCTATATACCATTGGTAATATAGACTCACTAAAGATTTGAGATTCTAAAACTAATACATTTCCTTTTGAGTTTTGATTAAACACCTCTACACATTGAGTTTTAAAATATTTGATAACTTCTGCATTAATGTTATTATATATTTCTTACAATGATACAACTCCTCTTTTGTGGACTATGTCTGAATAAAAGACAGCTTTTCTTACATTATAGCAAAGATAGAATTTCTTTCTATTGTTGCTAACAGACAATTGGTAAAAAAAATTATTCACACTGAAGAGTTTCCCACAAATCTCAGAACTCTTCCTCAGATTTTTTTCTTAATTTTAGTAATGTATGGGCTTCAAATTAAATTGTCATTATAAAAACTGATTTATTTTTCTCTCCAGTGGGTTTTGTTTTTAAATTGAGCATAAGAGCTAAATATTGATTAAAACCTTTTTCATGGTCATCAATAGCATTCAAAAGATTTTTGTTCTGGTATAGTGTCTCTGGAACTGAATAAAGTTGGTTTATACAGTAAGGGTTTCTCCCCATTCATCACATTTAAACTGTCTTGCCCAGAATGGAGTTTCTCATGATTAATAAGATCAGAGAATTGGCTAAAACTTATGCTGCACTGAACACACTGGTACATTTTGTCCTCAGTGTGGATCTTCTGGTGATCAATGAGATCTGTTCCCATAGTGAAGGTTTTCCCACACGCATCACATTTATATGATTTTTTCACCTGTGTGGATTTTTTGATGATTAATGAGTTCAGAGCGATGACTAAAGCTTCTGCTACATTGGTCACATGGATATGGTTTCTCCCCAGTGTGGATTCTCTGATGCAGGATGAGAGCTGAGCACTGACTTTTGAAAGCCTTCCCACACTCATTACATTTATAAGGTCTTTCCCCAGTGTGGACTCTTTGGTGTCTTATGAGGTCTGAGTTCTGACAGAAACTTTGGCTGCACTGTGTGCATGGATATGGTTTTTCTCCAGTGTGAATTCGCTGATGAAGAATAAGGTCAGACCTCTGACTGAAGGTTTTCTCACAWCTATCACAACGATAGGGCTTTTCACCAGAGTGCACTCTCAGATGTTTAGTGAGGTCTGAATTTTGATTAAAACTTTTATTGCACAAATTACAAGCATATGGTTTCTCTCCAGTGTGCATTCTGTGATGCTTTACGAGATCTGAATGGTGACTAAAACTTTTAGTGCAATCACTACACGGATAAGGTTTCTCTCCAGTGTGGATTCTCTGATGTAGAATAAGGTTGGAGCTCTGACTAAAGGTTTTCCCACAGTCGTCACATTCATAGGGTTTCTCACCTGTATGAATTCTATGATGTTTAACGAGATCTGATCTTCGACTAAACATTTTATTGCACTAATTACATGGATAAGGCTTCTCTCCTGTGTGAATTCGTTGATGATTAATAAGATTTGAAAGCCTACTGAAAGTTTTGCTGCACTGATTACATGAATAGGGTTTTTCTCCGGTATGAATTCTTTGATGCAGAATAAGAACTGAGCTTTGATTAAAAGCCTTTCCACACTCATTACATTTATAGGGCTTCTCTCCAGTGTGGATCCTTCGATGTTTAATAAGGTCTAAATTCTGACTTGAAACTTTTGCTACATTGATTACATGGATATGGCTTCTCCCCAGTGTGGATTCTCTGATGCAGAATAAGGTCTGAGCTCTGACTGAAGGCTTTCCCACATACATCACACTTATATGGTTTCTCCCCAGTGTGGATTCTTTGATGTTTTATAACATCAGAACTTTGACTAAATTGTTTATTACACTGGTTACACATATAAGGCTTCTCTCCAGTGTGAATTCTCTGATGTTTAACTAGGTCTGAGCGCTGGCTAAAATTTTATTACAATGACTGCATTGATAAGGTTTCTCTCCTGTATGGATTCTCTGATGTATAATAAGATCTGAACTCTGACTRAAGGCTTTCCCACTTTCATCACATTTATAAGGTTTTTCACCAGTGTGGACTCTGATGTTTAATAAGGTCTGAACTCTGACTGAAACTTTTAATACACCAATTACAAGGATAGGGTTTCTCTCCAGTATGAATTCTCTGATGCATAACCAGAGCTGAGCTCATTCAAAAGACCTTTCCACAATTATCACATTCATAGGGTTTTTTCCAGTGGTTTCTCTGGTGCTGAATAAGGCCTGTACTCCAAGCAAAGCTTTGTCCACATTCCTCACAGTTATATTGTCTTCTTTTAAAAAGGGTCTGATACTTTTTATTCAATTTATCTCCAAATTCACAGAATTCTCTGCCTTCAGAGTTCTGGAGAACATCCTCTTTGGGGTTACCAAACCCTTCAGTCAACATTTCAATTTTGCTGTAATTTCTTCCTCTGAAGCTGGTTGTCCAATTTTGATCTTAGTCTCAATATCTGGAACAATAAACAAAATCCAAATGGAAAGTGTTCTCCATGCTGTAAGAAAGTTCAGGTGAAACAGATTACAAATATAACAATATGGGAATGCTGAAATTACCCTTTTCTTTCTTTCTTTGGTACCAGGGATTGCACCTGACAACTGAGCTACATCCCCAGCTCTATTTTGTATTTTTTATTTAGAAATAGGGTCTCAGTGAGTTGCTTAGTGCCTCACTTTTGCTGAGGCTGGCTTTGAACTCACAGTCTTTTTGCCTCAGACTCACAAGCTGCTGGAAGAAACAATAGTAATGGACCATATTAATTATTTATAGAAGTGACTTACCAGATGTGCTCTGTATGATTATTAAAGGACATCTGGGAATACTGAAACCTATTTACTTTGATTAGGAAAGTATGACTAAATTAGAGCTAATACACAAGCAATTTATTTTTTTTATTTTTTTTTAAAGTTTTTACTATTTATTTTTTAGTTTTTGGCGGACACAACATCTTTGTTTGTATGTGGTGCTGAGGATCGAACCCGGGCTGCACGCATGCCAGGCGAGCGCGCTACCGCTTGAGCCATATCCCCAGCCCACAAGCAATTTATTTTATTCGCATATTTAAGGTAAGCAGTGTGAAAGAGTGCAGAAAAATGAAAAGAAGTTGATTGGGCTCTACCCAGCATTGTGCGGCTATTTGGGCCAAAAAATAAGGTATTAATTAAAAAAAAAAAAAGAAAAGAAAGAAAGAAAAGGAAATCAAAACCTTTCCATTGGTTTTTTTTTTTTTTTTTTAAAGACAGAGTGGGTCTCATGAAGTTGCTTAGAGCCATTCCCTCTTCTGACAAGAGTTTTCTATGTGAAGCAAATCCTGGCTTATTATTTATGGGCACTGTTAGACTTAATGCTTGATCACAGAGTTCCAGGTGGCTATATATTACAAACGGCCATTGTGTACTTGTTACCGATTATAAAAAATGATGCAAAACCCAGCATTCCATTGTAAAATTAACTAGCAGTAAATTCCAGGGGCTAGGGATTTGGATTCCATATTACTTTTTCCTATGGTTTTGTTACTTCTCTTTCAACGACCTTATAGGAATTCCCTGATACTAGTTAACAGACAAGYGGAAATTAAACAGTCAGTTTTCAGATGGGTTTGGCAGCATGTGAGCACCAGCCCAAAACTTTTACTTACACCCTTACTTAGTGATGGCCTCAAATACATTGATAAAGGCAAATCTTTCCAGTTGGCAGAAYTTCAGGTATACACGTGGTTATATACATCTGTCCACTTTTCATGAAAGGCAGCACAGTCTAAGAAATATGCCTACATTGATTTTTAGGTAGTTACTAATGGGTTATCAGAATATATAGTTACTTTAAAAGAATTAGATTGGAATAGCAGAAATGAGGATTATAGAAGCAAAATATGAGGATGGACTTCCTAGAATGAGCAAAGAATGTGAAAATATTTGTGTTCCTTGTGAATCCTCAGTAAAAGGCATATACTGTAGAGAAAGAAGCCCCTAGAACAATTAGGCATAATGATCCATAATATGAATGTCAATCAGCCTTCTTCCAATGCTTATACAATGGACTTATGTACGGAGTGGTCATAGCAGCAGGAATGGAAGCTGTAAATGGCTTCAACAATATGGACTTCCCCTCTCCAAGGCTGATATTCCTGTTACCACTGCTATGTGCCCAAACAGCCAATATTCAAAGTGAATACTATACCCCCCCCCCCGCCCAAAAGTACCACTCCCTAGACAAGAACCAATTAGCCTTTAGATGATAGATCCCTTACTCTGGACTACTTATATCATATAGACAGCAACAATTTGTTTTCAAAGAACGAAATACATAGTTCAGATACAAATTTGTATTGACTTAAGAGAATGATATTTTTAATACTATGGTATTCTATACAGTATTGCCTCCAAATAACTCATCTTAACAGGGAAAGAAGTATACCAGTGAGTTCAGATACGTGTAATTAATGAATCTATCTATATGCCCCATCATCCAGAAGTATGTGGATTGAGATAATGGCTAAAGGCTAAATCTGGGGTGATGTCTTATAGGACAAAATATATTTCCTAAACTAAAGACAACAGTTTTTTCTCCATGACCAAAATACATAAAGAGGTATAGGAACCAAAGAGAAGGAGAGAGAATAGTTCCTYTCATAATCTAATAATCTATTTGTATTATTTTGTTTCATATCTTCATAATCTTGGATGTGGTGAGTTTTCCAGTACTCAAAGGAGAAGTGCTTCTACTATGAAGCAAAGTAATGATTTTTGTTAAATTTGAAGGTAAGTCTGCCTCTTGGCCATTTTGGGTTCCTCATGCTATTCAAACAACAGATGAAGAAGGTGTGCAAGTGCTCTGCCACTGAACCACATCCCCAGCCCCTTCCAGATCTACTTCATATTTTCTTTGTGGCTCTGGGGATTAATACTGATAAACTGCAAAACCTGTGGTTCTATGTTCTGGCTTGCAATTAAATTTGTACAAGAGTAGGAGAATAGTTGAGAGACCAATTGTTCTAGTTTGCCCAAACTGAGGGACTATTGGGATGTGAGACTGTTAGTGCTAAATACCAAGCCAAAAGGTAAGTTGTCCACCCTATATCCTTGATTTTTTTCTTGCTGAGCTAGTCATTCTCTCAGTATCTGCAGGGAATTGCTTCCAGGATCCCTCTTGGATTTCAAAAGCTTCAGATACTAAAATATATAAAATGGCATAGTATTCACATATAACCTACATACATTCTCCCATGTTTTAATTCAACTCTAGATACTTATAATACCTAATACAATGTAAGTACTATGTAGTCATTAATTTGTATTATTTTTTATGGTTTGTTCCCAAAATATTTTTTTTTTTTTAAAGAGAGAGAATTTTTTTAATATTTATTTTTTAGTTCTCGGCGGACACAACATCTTTGTTGGTATGTGGTGCTGGGGATCGAACCCGGGCMGCACGCATGCCAGGCGAGCGCGCTACCGCTTGAGCCACATCCCCAGCCCCCCAAAATATTTTTAATATATTTTTTTTTTATTCTTTATTTGTGGTGCTGAGTTTCAAACCCACTGCTACACACATGCCAGGCAAGCCCTCTATCACTAAGCCACAATCCTAGCCCTCCCCTCAATTTTTAATTTTTTTTTTTTTTGGTAGTTGTAGATGGACAACATGTCTTTATTATTTATTTATTTTTATGCAGTGCTGAGGATCAAACCCAGTGCCCCACACATGCCAGGCAAGCACTCTATCATTGAGCCACAATCCCAGCCCTCCCCAGTTGGTTGAATCTGTGGATGTGGAATCCATGGGTAAGGAGGGCCAACTATACTTGTATTTCTTTAAGAAAAGGCAAAGTTCATATCAAGTGGTTCTATCCTCCAGGATACAGTAATCAATCTCTCCCCTTCCTAAATGTAATAATGGATTTCCACTGTTGTATGCTCAAAGCTGTTCTCAACCCCATAATTTTTGTAATCTTAGCCATCATTCTCACAAAACTTAATTACTCAACTGAATAAGCCATGTTTCCTGCTAAAATCCTAATACTCCTGGCTTAATTTCTCTGTAACTGCTATAATTATRTGATAACATAATGTACATTTATTTATTTTCTGTTTTCCCCCACTGGAATGTAAGATTCATAAGGGTATGGACTTTTTCTATATAGCAATTCACTGCTATATCCCTCGCACTTAGAACAGTGCCTGGCACAAAATAAAATCTCAATAACTAATAAAATTACATGACAAGAAACAATAAGCTATGATTTTATTAATTAATACACATTTATCAATGGAAAATATTTGTTGAATTAGTTAGCTAAATGATATAAAGGATATAAGAAATAATATGGTTTAAAAATATGATGTTGGGGCTAGAGTTGTGGCTCAGTGATAGCACTTGCCTAGCATGTGTGAGGCACTGGGTTCGATTCTCAGCACCACATATAAATAAATAAATAAAGGGCCATCAATATTTAAAAAATATTTTTAAAAACTTAAAAAAAGTCTGATGTTTTAGGTCATTAAGTTTTGGGGTCCTATATTTTGGAGTAATACATAGACACAATTCTCAAGAAAACCCCCAAGACATGAACTATTATACACTTATAAAGTGGGGAAACAGAACTGTAAAATTATTGGAGGCAGTGACAAAGCTAGTATTTGGATCCATGTCAGCAGACTCCAAATGTTCAAATTTGACCCTATAGGAGATGAGAGAGATGATGTGAAAAGATCATAAGGAGGACATTCCAAACATTGACAGATTGGTATTAAGGTGATAGACCATAAAGGCAAAAATAGATGACTCAGGTCCTAAAAAAAAAAAAAAAAAAAAAAGGGAACTGCATGAGAATTTGATAAAGATGCAAGACTTTGCTTGAAGCACTAAAAGATATAGTATTGCCTGACACAGTGTAGACATAGGTAGTGAAGAATACCAATATTATTTAAAGAAACCAGCATGGGGCAATATTCTATCCCCTCAAAACACTAAGATAAACTATGTTGCTCCTCACTGAAAGAAGGTGATGTTGTTGAAAATCACAATTGAACTGGATCTCCATGGACTGAATATGGACACCTCAGGGAGCAACTGGAGAATTATCATTTCTTCTGTAAGATTTTCTTGTCCACAAAAGGGTCTGAGACCTGGAGGCAACTTGGCACCACTGGGCTTAGAAGGGAATCATTGTGCAAACTAGAGATGTAATTTCTGAGACTAGTCCACCAGACACAGCCTCTAGATATAAAAGAAGGGAAGGAGAAACCGAAATTTTAATTTCCAAATGCTTTTCTATTAGAATTCATTTATTTTCCTTCCCATTATCCAGGAATCTGGCATTAGCCCTCTCGGACATACATTCCCCATTCCAAGTCGAGAGCTAGTAAAACAAAATCGGGGGTTAATTCTACCGAAATTGGGGTAACTGGAAAGAACGCTGGGGAGAGAATTTTGGCATTTGTCTCAGTGGTTAAGAATATGTTATTTGCTGCCTTTACAAAATGGTCACTACTGATCATCAACGTGATCGCTTTCCTTTCTTTGCCTTCCAACACTCACAAATTCAGGCAGCCCTTTCCTGGGTCGGTCGGCTGGTTCGCGAGGATTCCTCCACGCACGTGATTCCACCAGCTCCCCGAATTTTCTGGCGTTCATTCATTTGAACGCGACGCCCAAACCGACAGCTTCCGGTGCCCAGGAGCGACCCTGGCGGTTCTGACTATCCATGGACTCAGGAAACCGCTTGTCAGACAAGATCACCTGGGACACCTCGGCCTGGGGTGGGCCGACCTCACGCGTACCTCGAACAGTCTGCCTATCCAGACTCACACGCAGCGAGCCAGGCATCGCCCTGTCCACTCTAGGAATCTGGGAGGATTGCTCAGCTCTATGGCGCATGGACGCGCGTGCGCAGGGCGGCACCGAGGGTTGGCGGTCGGATTCCCTGGAATTAACCCAGGAACATCCGCTGAGCCGCAACCAGCAGATCCTTAGCTAGGTACTCTGCCAGCGACAGATCCCTTGCTGTCCCKTCTGTAGATTCTTAAGGTGAATGTCGGAATCCGTTGTCTTTCGGGAAAGCTCTCAGGGGCTGGCTAGGTTTTCTGACCGAATAATGAATTCTTCGTTAGCTCGCAGGCGCTTTTTAACCCATCCTCCCTCACGTAATCAGATTCACAGTAGAGCGTTCATTCAACTTTCTTACTGTGCTCTCCCCCACCACCCTCCAGCCTCAGAATAGGGGCAAGCAGAATCACGTGGAGGCCTCCTTAAAATACTGATCTCTGGACCCAACCTCCAGAGATTGTGACTCCGGTTTGGGATGGAAGTCCGTGTTGAGTCAAGTGATCCTGCTGGTCCTGAAACCACACTTTGATAACCGCTGCCTTAGAAATAAATGGAGCTCAGCAATAAATCCTTTAGTGACTGGAAAACTGGGGGGGGGGGGGGAAATGAGGTTAAGGAATGGCAGGAACCAGGCGTCCTAGCGCACACCTGTAATCCCAGCGGCTGGGGAGGCTGAGGCAGGAAGATCACGAGTTCAAAGCCAGCCTCAGCAATTTAACGAGGCGCTAAGAAACTCAGTGACGCTCTGTCTCTAAATAAAATACCAAAAAAGGGCTGGGAATGTGGCTCAATGGTTGAGTGCCCCTGAGTTCAATCCCCAGGTAAGAAAGAGAAAGAGGGGAGGAGGGCTAGGTGGAAGAGGAGGAGAAAGAAAAAGAGGGAGCGAGGGAGAGAGAGAAAGATGATTTCTGATATGTGTAGGGCTGTGAAACCATCATCACAATCAAAACAGTGAACACATCTGACAACTACAGAAGTTTCCTACCGCCAGCAGGCTATCATTCTCATCTCCTACCAGTAATGATCAGTCTTCTGTTACTATAGATTTTTTAGATTCTAAGTTTTGTAAACGTAGAAATTTATTTAAATGGAATCATTTAGAATGTACTTTTTGGGGAGGGGTAGACTTCTTTCACTGAGCATTATTATACTGACCTTATCTATATTGCTGTATCAATAATTCACTGTTGCTGAATAAAATTTTATTGTGTGTATTTATATCACAGTTTGTTTATCCATTAGCCCACCAGTTGATGGGCGTTTGGGTTTTCTATTTTTTTTCCCCATCACAAATAAAGCTGCCATGAACATTCATGTACAAGTTTATATGGAGGGGCTGGGGTTGTAGCTCAGYGGTAGAGCCTTGCCTAGCACGAGTGAGGCCCTGGGTTCAATCCTCAGAACCACATAAAAATCAATAAATAAAATAAAGGTATAAAAATACTACGAGTCCTTTTTTAAAAAAAAAGTTTATATGGACATCTGCTTCCTCCTTCCCCCATGTGTATGTTTGACATTTCAAGAAATTGCCACACTGTTTTTACAGAATGGCTGTGTAGTTTTGCTTTTCCTACCAGCTATGGATGAGAGTTCCAGTTTCTCCACATCCTTACCAACTCTCTGTGTATCTCACCATGGTTTTAATTTGCATTCCCCTAACAACTAATGATAGGTAGCATTGTTTCATTTGCTTATATGCCACCTGTGAATCTTCCTTTGGTGAAGTGTCTGTATAAATATTTTGTCCGAATGCTATACAAATATATCATGAATTTGTTTTTCTTTCTCTTAATTGTTGTTTGAAGGCAGAAGTTTTAAATTTTGTTTAAGAATATAATTTATAGTTTAGTTCTTTTATGGATGATGTTTTGTTGTTGTATGTAAGAAATCTTTACAAATTAACCTAAGTCACAAGATTTTCTTATATTTTGTCTTTCAGAAATTATTTGGAGTTTTAGGTTTTACGTTTGGGCCTATGATTCTTTCTTTCCTTCTTTCTTTTTTTTTTAATACTGGAGATTGAACCCAGGGGTGCTTTACCACTGAGCTACATCCCCAACCCTTTTTTATTTTTTGTTTTGGGACAGGGTCTTGGTAAGTTGCTTAGGGCCTTGATAAATTGCTGACACTGACTTTGAATTTGAAATCCTCCTGCCTTAGCCTTCTGAGTCACTGGGATTACAGGCACATGTCACCATGCCAGCCTAGAATTAATTTTATGGTAAACATACTCTGAGATTTGGGGCAAAGTTTCTTTTATTGTATGTGGATATTCAATTGTTCTGCACTTTTCTTTCTCCTCTGAATTTCCACTGAACCTTTGTGGAAAAATTCTCCTCTCCTTTCTTTTCCCCATTCCTCCTCTCTGGTGCTGGGGGATCAAACTCAGGGTCTTAGGSAAGTACTCTACCAATGTGCTATGCCCCTAGTCCCATGATGATACACTTTTCATTACAGTAGCTTTATAATAAGGCTCAAATCAGGTAGTGTGAGACTTCTAATGTTTTTGTTTYATCTGTTCTAACTCCAATGCATTTCTATATAAATTTCCAAATCAGCTTGCCAATTTCTAAAAAAAAAAAAACCTGGAATTTTGATTGAGATTGAATTGCATTTAGAGATCAATTTGGAGAGAATGAATATCTTAGATGTAACTTTTTGGTAGATATCATTTATCATATTGAGGAAGTTATTTTCTATTTCTAGTTTATTGAGAATTTATATCACGACTGTTTGGTGGATTTTTAAATATCTTTTAAGAAGACAATATGTTTTTCATTTTTAGCTTGCTAGTATGGCAATTCACCTTTGCAGAAAGAACTGTTCCCAGTGTATGAGAACTGGCTCTATGAAACTAAAGAAAGAGGCAGACATATCCAGGATCATAGAGTGCAGTTTACTGGGGTATCTACTGACAGAAGCATATCTTGGATGGCTGCAAGACTGGTGGCTACCTTTCATTTGGTTTGGAGGGAGGGGACTATGGTCAAAGTGACTTTGTTTAAAATCAAAATGTACCTGGTTCATCTTAAACCAATAACAAAGATATCAGGCACATCTCTGGCACTGATGGCACCTGGGACCAGTCATAAAGCTCCACATATTCCTTTAGTGTTTTTGTAAAAAATTATAGTATGCTGGGAAACTATTCAGGGAAAACAGACCAGGGTTACTCAGGGGAAGTCATGGCAATTACAACTCAAAGGGGCTGCATAGATCAAGTTGAATCCCTAATTCCCTCCCTCCCTCCCTCCCTCCCACCCTTCCTTCCTTCCTTCCTTCCTTCCTTCCTTCCTTCCTTCCTTCCTTCCTTCCTTCCTTCCTTCCGATAAAATTCAGCCTGTGCCTGTGCATGCTAGGCATGTGCTCTACCACTGAGCTACATGCCCAGCCCTTACATACATTGATTTTTAAAGTTAAACGAAACTTGCATTCATGTATTAATCCCTGCTTGGTCATGACATATTATCCTTTTTTATATATTGGTGAGGTTGAGTTGCTAAAATTTTGTTTATAAATCTTACATGTKTATGAGGAATATTGGCCTGTAGTTTTCTTGTAATATATATATTTAACAATCCTAATTGGCTTCATTTTTAATTTTAAAATCAGGTAACACTTCATTCCATAGAACAGAATCAGTTTTCCTGTGAGTCAAGCACTCATCAAAAATAATTTGATGAGTTAACATCAGATTATTTTTTTTTTACACAAAATAAGGACAAGGGAACTTCACTATTTCGCCAGTTGAGAATGGCTGTTCTCCCTCCAGTCCAGATTTCTCTTGGAGGACCAGATGTGTCAGTTTGGTTTGATTAACTCCATGTTGTTGTCCCCCACCCCCCACCCCTGGAATATTGTCTCTGTTGAAAAACTGGGTTCACAAAGAAGGTGGTAGCAGGAAAATTTCAGAACCCAAAGTTTAAAAATAAGTCTTGGGCAGTGTGGGGTTATTTTCTGTCTCTGGGGGGGATCATCGATGTCCAAGGCCTGGGGACAGAAGCAAAGTCCCCAGCCGCCCATCTAGGAGATGTCACTCTCAGTAGCGTCTGGTGTCYTGACCTGTGCTCGCCCAGGATGATGGTGAGTAAGGAGCAGCAGGTCACAGGGGCCCCCTGACCCTCTGGGAGATAGAGCTCTCCCTCGGCAGACCCAGGGACTGAGGGTCAGAGGCCAGGGGAGAATCAAGGACTGTCCCCCCCTGTGTCCCTGAGGTCCTGGGGCAGGGGTGCAGGAGGCAGCCAGTGTCACAAGACGTCCCTGTCCCCAGCCAGGCTGGGCGCCTGGCTAAGCGAGGAGAAAGACGGCATCCCTTCTCAGGGCCTGGCCCCTGCGCCTGGTCTCACTTCCGGCACCGCCTGGAAGGGGAGGAAGTGACACCCAAGGGAAGGCCGGGAAGTGAGGCCACTGTCACATTCAAGCTCAGGGTGCGACAGCTGAGTCAGCCTCCCAACAGGCCGCATGCTCCGCTCCTCTTCATGTACCACATCCCTTCTGAGAGTCACGCCCTCCCCAGAAGTTCCAGAGACATGTCCATGTTTAGGTCCTCGGATCTGGAAGTGCCTCAAGTGTCCATGTTTAGGCCCCTGGATCCGGAAGTTCCTCAGACATCCATGTTTAGGCCCCCGGATCTGGAATTTCCAAAGGTGCACGTCTATGTTTAGGCACCCGGATCCAGAAGTGCCTGAGGTGCACGTCCATGTTTAGGCCCTAGGACCAGAAGTTCCTCGGGCGTCCATGTTTAGACCCCTGGATCCAGAAGTTCCTCAGATGCACATCCATCTTTGGGGTCTCAGATCCGGAAGTTCCTCAGTCCTCCATGTTTAGGCCCCCCGGATCCAGAAGTTCCAAAGGTGAACGTCCATATTTGGGCACCCGGATCCGGAAGTGCCTCATGTGCACGTCCATGTTTAGGCTCTAGGACAGGAAGTTCCTCAGGTGTCCATGTTTAGGCCCTCGGATCCGGAAGTGCCTCAGATGCACG